GCAATCGGACCTCGTAGGTTAGTTGGTAGAGCATCGGGACGAAAGCCCAGTGGTCGCTGGGTGGAATCCGAAATTGCACCTTCAATGATCATCCGGCAGAAACTAATATGTGATAACCTGATATGAGCTTTTCTGGATGGATGATTCCGCATTGTCAAATGGCAGAATAAGGATCATATCCATATGTAGTGTATTATGAGTGATGATTGTATGGATTACAGACTGAGATTTATTTGTATGTACACATGAGCTGATCGTTCTTATCGCATATGTATTGATTACGTCAGTAGGTCCGTTGGCTTGAAACCAAGTGAAGTTACATTTTATCCCGTCATTCCTATTTAGACAATTTTGGTTCCATTTTATGTGAAGGAATTTTGCCATGACAGGTACCTTATAATTTTTAGTCTGTCTGAATAATTCTGATCTTATAAAAAGTCAACCTGGTTACCTGACATTCTGAAGTGTTTTCAAGCTTTGGGGACTCGTCAACTGAATGTATCCACTTCTCAGTAAGTGATATTGTTCCTATTCAGACTTAAACCAAACTATATCACACTGGTGGTATAAAGAGTAGCACTCAGTGGATAACGCTCCAGTGTTTGAAGTGATTAGTCCCGTGTGTGAATCTCAGTGGGAACAACTCCACTCACTGGGAGGTGGGTACATCCGACTGACGAGTCCTAAGTGGGACGAAACGCGAGTCCTGGTGTCCACTGCTAGCCTCTATCCATTATTAATGCTGAATAATCCAAGATAAAATAAACTCTGAAGGATTAGCTTAGGCAGTAAAGCAATTGTACTGAGACTCAGTACATTGATTAAGTGAACAATATCTGGCGCCTTTCAATCTGACATTTCAACTTCTGATTTATAAAAACAAAAGTACCTGGATTAAGTTAGACAGTTGTCACACTTACAGTAAAGTAGTAGTAGTCATTACTTTGGCATACTGGACACTATCTTATCCGATTTCTCTTTCTAGCTTATATATGATGATGTACCAGTCAAAAAATATATAACCACCGTATGAAACATAAGAAAGGAGAAAATTATTTTGTGGTTTGGAAAATCATTTATTAATTATCTCTATTTCACATACACACACACACACACACGAGCTAAAACCGTCCTAACACAAATAAATTATCTGAACTATGCATTCTAAGCTAGACAACGTCCAAGTTATCAATAAGTATAGAGTAACGTTGAACTTTATGGAGTACTCTATTCATACACCAAACATAGACAGATAAAAGGGATGAGGATAGATTAATAAAAACACAAGCATACACACGTTTTTACCTTCTCATCACTTTTACTTATTCATTGAATGAGTATATTTAGTAGAGTAACTTTCACACATTCTCCTGTGATTTGAGAAATATATACAATATAATCTATAAATATGCACACATGTGTATAAATATTTTTATTGGCATGATAATTAAGTAGTTTTTTTTTTGAGTTTATACATTAAACTGGCCAGCTAGTATGACTACTATTAAGCGATAATAACGCGTCACAACGAATTCACCTGGTAGTCTAACAAAATCTTTGATGATTGAAATGAAATAAAACTCTGGTCAGTAGTTGGACCTCATAGCTCAGTTAGAAGAACATTGGGTAGGAGACCCTTTGGTTACTGGTTTGAATCTAGCAGTGGTCCGAGTTTTCATTTCACCTTCAATCATCACTCTGTATCATTATTAGTCTGTCAAACTACGGTTATCTCAGATCGTCATAATGATAATTAGTATCAAGCTCCCCCTCTCTCGAATTCAGTTAGATTGGGATAAGAAATGGTGACTAGGTAGCCAGTGTGAGTACGGTCAAACGTCAGTAACGGGAGACTTTAAAGGTTCCCCCTAGTAACTGTGGAAATAACCAATCAGGTTTCAGTATTCGTCTGGAAAGGTAGTTTTTCCATAAAATAGAGAGGCCTAATTGGTTACCTCAGCAGTTGCTAGGGTGGCCTTTAAAGTCAGTCTCAGTAACGGGTCACGACGACTTCACATGATAGTCAGGCAAAAGCCTTGGTGACTGAAGTGAAATGTAAATCTAGCCAGCAGTCAGGTCTTGTAGCTCAGTTGACAGAGTTCTGGGTCGTTACACCGGTAAACCAATGAATGAGAATAAACGGGCCTGGTAAAACTAAGACACTCCACAAAGTTAGAATACCCTTTAATTAGCCTTAGTGACTAGTTATTATTTTGTTTGTTTCTTTTATGGTACACTGTTTAAGGTTTATTTATATACTATTGCGTAGATCATTGAATAATGACTCAAGGAAAATCGGTGTATAGATAGATAGTTTATCAAGGTTATAAAAACAACACAAACTGCTTGTTGAAGTCCATTCGTGATACAAATTCTCCTTCAAAAACTCACTTATTATATCACCATTGTGAAAAAGTCAACTTTCACCTTCAAAAAGATTTTCAATAACCATGATCAGGCATTATTGCTGAACTGTACAAGTTGACACACCTCATATCATTCACTACATCAAACTAAAAGGCAGTGAAGTCGAAGATGATGAAGAAGAAAAAGAAAAGTCAGTCAAAAGGAATATAAAGTACTCAAAGAGAGAGAGAGAGAATGGTGAGTGAGATTCGGTATAGTGGTCAATGTGAGGATGATGTGTGTGTACATCTCCACCACTCAGTCACATCACCTACATTCAGTCTCCAATCACTAGTCACTCTTCTCACACACACCCCAACAGCCTAGTCCCCATCAGTCACCCCACATACCTCAAACCAACAGTCAAACACTTCATACATTGATGCCATGTTGTAGTGTGACCACCTCGAGCCTCTTTCCAGCCTGAACCACTTTCGACCAAGATTGTTTGATGAGACAGACGGTGAGTAGGCATACATAACACATGCCCCAACCAACCATCTCAGTCGATCAATGTTCACAACCATATCAACTGATTTAATGATAGTCAACTATTAATTTCTTGCCTAGATTTTTTTACCTCATCATCTTGACTGATAGATACTGCAATTTTAAAAACTAAGAAAACCTAGAAACAGAGCGACTGTCACTGTTTAATCATGGAATTACCGTTTACTTATATTGGCGAAAAGCCCCTGTGAAATAAATATATATTAATCGAACTAAGGACCTTCAAACTTGAAGGCCAATGCGTTAACCATTTAGACTCTGGGTCAGAGTTCAATGGTTCAAGATACAGAGCAACCATCCATTAAGGTCTTCAGTTGGTATCCACTTTAGCTTCGACCGGTTGACTTCACAGGTCTCTTATTAGAACTTCATGAAATCCATCTGGAAGCATGTCACTGTATTTTGACGTAGCATTCATCACGGACTGAAATCAGTTGGAAAACCATTGGAAAACTAGGAGCACTGGAAAGACATTTCGTCCCAATAAGGGACTCGTCAGTAGCACGCACACATGACCCCATCAGGCATCAAACTCAGGACCTTCAGGCTTCATGATGAACACGTTAACCATTCAGCTGCAGGGTCGGAATTCAGTGGTTCACAGTTTCCTACTTCTGTCAGTTCGCGATATAGCGCAATCATCACCCAAGGTCTTCAGCTGACATTGGCTTCACTTCCGACTAGTTAACTCCACAGGTTACAATTTATCATAGAACCTTAGGCTATCTACTTTGAAGCAGGTCACTAACGAACACTATACAGTAGTGTAGTTTATGATGAATGACGGTTTTATTTTTAAAGTAGTATTCACCCAACTGACGCGTACTACTGAGGAGTCATGTGCTAGGACAAAACTGCTGTCCAGAGCTTCCAGGTTTTCAGTAGTTGGTGATATGCTTCAAGATGAATATTTTAAGTTCTAATGAGAAGCCATGACCTATGGGGTCACCAGTCGGAGGGGGAGAGGATGACGAATGAACGAATTACAACAAGGCGATCAGCCTGCTGGCTGGCATTGAAATATGAAAACTGTAGAGCATTCTAATGATCTCTTTGAGCAGTCGTGGCACTTGCTGATACCCATAATCTGATAGATGTTTGACCTTTATCTTTTAACATATATATGCAATCATGTCTTAGTAACCGATGTCAGAAGACAATATAGAATGTTATCAGTAGTTTTTCGGTCACCAAACAAATATTTTTCTCAATGACTTCAATTAACCAAAGACCTACTAAGGGATGAATCAATATGATAGTAAGGATGGATAGTATCTAGCAGTGGAATCTAGGACTCACGTTTCGTTTTGTTTGTGACTTGTCAGCTGGGTGCACCTACTTCCAGTTAATGATGTCGTTTCCACCAAGACTGGAATCCAGGATCGTTGTGTCATGTCGTTGCATAAGAAGCGATCATCATGACCCAGGGGTCTGGTGAGTAACGCTTTGGCGTTGGAAGCGACTGGTCTTGAATTCAAGTCTTAGTGGGAACAGTATCAATCACTGCCAACGACTATTCATTTCTATCATCATACTGAAATTACTGGCAATATCAAGGCGTCCACACAGGAACCATATGCCAATGGAGGCTGATCAGTTCAATCAGATCAACGACAAGAAACTATAAGCAATAATATCAAATGAACGATTCATTATCTGATGCTCAAAAAGCGGTTTAAAGTGGTTTACTAAACAGCAACCGATTTCATATGGTAGCAGTGGAATGTTGGACACAAGTTCCGTCCTATTTGGGACTCGTCAACGGGATTTCCCTGCCTTCTAGTGAGATATATTGTTCCCACTAAGACTCGAACTCAGGACCAAACACTTCAAACCCTAGAGCATTGTCCACTAGATCACTGAGTTACGACAGCTACTCTATGTGCTACACAGGTATAGTTTTGATGTTATTACTTGTAATTTCCAGTCGTTAATTAAATCGAATTCATAGGTCTATATGATTTCAGGGATAGTATATAGGGAAGTTTGTCTTTCTTACATAATGACATAACAATGGTAAATAAAGTATGGATGATAGAGAATTCACGAAGACAATTATACAAATAATATTTAATCATTCTCACCTGGTTGTTCATTCACGATAGCGACAACATTTTCAAAGACACTGTGACAAATATTCAGAATATCAGTTTTTTCAATTTTTTGGTATTGTGTTGGCTATAAGTTGAATAAATAAAAATTATCTTCAATACTAGGAAGCTTTAAATAGTATTCATAATAATCTTATTTACACCACAGATAACAGGTCTCGTAGCTTGGTTGGTAGAGCATCAGGCTAGAACTTCGGTGGTCACTGGTTCGAATCCGGCCATAATCCAAACTTTCATATCACCTACTAGTCTGCCGAACTAACGCTATTTAAGGCAGTCAAATAACACTAAAAATTACTATTTGTTGATATACGTGTAATTCTATGTTGTTTTACTGGATCGAATTATTCCACCTCTATTAGCACTTGCTTTCCAACAAACTACAGATATTCATCAACAACTGCCGCCTACGCTGGCTAGTTACTGAAGATCATATGGATTGCCAGAATAATAAGAATAAGCAACAAGGAACTCTGGCCTGCCAACCAACCAACCAAGAACCTGTCACCCAACTAACATGCACTGGAAGGAAGTGGAGATGGATTGGTGATGCACTGAGAAGACCGACTGGGGACATCATGTGCCACGCCAGTTGCACAAGTGGAACCCAGATGGGAAACGACTAGTTGGGTGTTCGAGGTGAAGGTGACATTGAGGAGATGGTGTGAGGAGGAAATGAGAGGTTGTGGGCAGTCGTGGAGTGAGGTTGAAAAGATTGTAGAGAAGAGAGTGGAATGGAGACGTGCTAGTGAATCCCTATGTTCCACTAGGAACTCAAGGGACTAATAAACAATATAAATAAATAATTAGCATTTGCGCTGCTATGTGGATGCCTTGATAATGCCTAAATATTCATTATGATAATTCACGTGGTTGTGGGGACAACATCACTCACTGGGATGTAGGACGAGCCCTAAATAGGACGAAACGCACATCCTGGATTCCTCTGCTAACCATAGCTAAGTAAATTATCATTTATAAAAATGCGTAAAATAAGTGGTGAATAAAAATGTGTAAAGTTGTTGGTAATCATAGATAGTGGCTACCAGTGGAATATAGGATGTGGATTTCGTCCTGTATGGGATTCATCAGATAAATACATCTACTGCTCGTTGAGTGATATTCATCCCACAGAGACTGGAACCCATAACCTTCTTCGTCGAACATCTGAGTCATATTACCTACTTCTTGTGTGACTGGCGTATTTTTTATATTAACGCTTGTAATTTCTCATCGTTTATCTTATTTGGCTAGTGAATCGAGTAATTTTCTAATATGTGGTCACAACTTAGTTTACAGATTGGTTTTATTTAGTGATAAGAATCTCAAGAAGCTGTATATATCAAATGTTTTATAGACATCAAGACCTACGTTGGTGTTTTTTTCTAAGAAATATTAAACAATGTTTGGAGAATAACGAACACTGGAACAATTATGGCCCAATGACCTATTAGATAATGCTTTGACGTTTGAAATGGTGAGTACTCGGGTTCTATTCTTAGTTGGAACAACATCACTCACTGGGAGACAGGTATGTCCGACTAACGAGTCCTAAATAGGATGAAACGCATGTCCTGCATTCCACTGCTAACCACTAACCATCATTCCTCTATTAAACCATGTTTATAAGTTGCCTAGAGCTTTGGATGTTCATACTGTTTCTCATATTCAAACTGACATTGTTGGATAATGGGATTGTACACCTTTGAGGTCCATTTTTCTGAACAAGATTAACCTGTAGTATAATCGTTTTTTATATCATACCGTCTTTGATTGGACCGAATCGATCGGTCTCTATTGGCATATGGGCTCCTGTGAGGATGCCTCGATATTGCCTACCTTCTGATTATGGTAATGATTGGTCGTGGCTAGCAGTGGAATCCAGGATGGGCATTTCATCCTAGCAATTGTACTAAAACTATACTCGTCGCACAAGAAGTGGTTATCGTGGCTCGGTGGTGTAGTGGATAACGCTCTGGCATTTGAAGCGATCGCTCCAGAGTCCAAATCCCGGTGGGAACAACATCACTCACTGGGAAGCAGGTACATCCAGCTGACCAGTGAGTCCCAAATAGGACGAAATCCGCATCCTGGATTCCATTGCTAGCCACGATCCATCATTAACAAAATTGACCTTTCTCTAGACATTAGTTGATGAGCACTGTAGCATAGAAACAATACTGTAGAGACTGCTCAATAGAATTTAATCAAGTGAATAGTATATAAGGTTTTTATTGTATTTAGGATTATTAAGCGTGTTATGAATATTATTACTACTGATATTAATGAATGACACTTTATCACATCACTGAAAAGTTATTCTATGTGCCAAAATATAATCAGTCAATATGTTTAAGATAATTGATGGGCATAATGACAAAAGTAGCGTGAACTTAATGTACTTCCAATCTATTGATCCATTAACGCATCTCAGTTTTTATGAATAATCCACACATTGAATACAACATCATTATCTGTCTGATAGTGAAATTTAGGTAAACTTGTATTGATTTTCACTTTAATGCTCAAATATATGCTCACTTTATGCTGCAAGTGATTAGTAATACTGACAGACAGGCCAACCAGATCTTGTGCACTCCTGATCCATTTTAACGAATATAGACAGTGTGGATACAAGAAATATAGGTCATCTCAGGTAGAATTTACCAATTAGAGATTATTGGAAAAAAAGGTATATGAGTGCATGTCTATTTTATGACTTGAAGATGAGTGTTGAAGTCAGTATGAGAATAGCTGTTCATAACAAATGTAAGCATATACTATTTTATAGCTTGAATAGCCACATATACCAGACGATGTCGTCACGGGGTTGACAGGACAAAGTGTGTGTGTGTGTGTGTGAGAGTGCAAAATAGTAGTTCTGCCTATTCCTACTTCATGATGACTAAAGGTGAAACGAAAATCTAAGCTGCAACTGGATTCGAACCATCGACCCAGCTACTGATGACCAGATCTTGTTCAGCTGTTATATAAATTAAGTATTTTTTTTAAAAATCTATCTACTCTTTTCCTCTGTGTTTCACATGCAAGTATAAGGAGTGACTCAGAGGGTTACCCTAGCAACTAAAATAAACTAACCAGTTGGGTTGGTTTATTTTATAAAAAGCTACCTTACCAATAAAGATGGTTAAACCTGACTGGTTATTTATGTAGTTGCAAGGGTGGCCTTTAGAGCCACTCATCACCAGTGAATCTTGAAGCATTGGTATCAGAGTGTGATGAATTTATAGGATCATGGAACCCACAACGCACATTTCGTCCTATCTGGGACTCACTGACCAGCTAGATGTACCTGTGCCTCAGTGAGCGATATTGTTCCCACTGAGACTCGAACGCAGTACCCATCCCTTTTCACACCAGAGTGTTATCTGTTAGGCCAGTGGGGCACAAGAGACGTCTCTTGGGCTCCTATGCGCAGACCTCAATACTGCTCGATTACTTATTATGCTATAACCTACTTGGTGGCTAACAGATCGTTGATCAGTCTTTATATCATATATTGATTATTTGAAGCAGAGCATCAGGTAAGATGCTGATCGATAAATGTAATTCTAATACATCACTTGGGTTTAAAAGGAAATTTTAGTAAGCAGTTTTGGTGTAATGCGGTGACAGTTGAAATCTATGCCTAACCTGTATCACAACAGGATTTGGACAAGCGGCTCTCAAGTAAGCGGTTCGTGACTCTAATAACTGGTCAGGTTTAACATTCACTTCAAACACTTAGGGATTTTCCCAACTGTCATGTGTGTATGTGTGTGTATATGTATTTGTAACCGTCTGTTTGTTATCGAACTAGCCAATCAAATAGGACTTTCCATTGTAATCCAAGTCAATCTTCACGTCTTTTGTCTGATGACTAGTTCAGTCAATTAAGAAAATGTAAGACAGTTTCATCAACGACAAGCTTATGGTTTAACATACATACTAACTTACGTCTTCACCGATTAAATCCATAGCTAAATTATGCAATGCATTCATTTTATCTGATATACAAGCTCTTCTACGACGTTCCAGATTTTGTTTTTTAAGCTGAAATGTTAGAAAGAATATTATTATTGTGAGTTAATCCACAGGTTTGTCATATCAGCTAGAAGTATTTCAGTGGAGGATAGTAAAATGCTGAACAAAGCGTCAGCTTATTTCTTCTCCATTACCTTTCCTGTATAATTACCAACTCCTGTGTAAAGTGATGATGGATAGCAGTTAGCAGTGGAATATAGGACGTGAATTCGTTCCTATTTGAGCGCATCAAGTGTATATATGTGTCTCTCAGAGACCTGTGTTGTTCGAACTGAAACAATAGCCTAGAACTCATCACTTAAAACGCCTAAGAATTATCTAACAGGTAATTATATTGTCATAGTCACCCTTTGTGCAACAGGTATCGATCCATCCATCCAAATCAACATACTACCAGGCATTACTGCCCAACGGTTAAAGTTGACACACCTCATATCACTCACTACATCAAACTAAAAGGCAGTGAAGTCGAAGATGAAGAAGAAGAAAAGAAAAGTCAGTCAAAAGCAATATAAAGTACTCAGAGAGAGAGAGAGAGAGAGAGAGAGAATGGTGAGTGAGATTCAGTATAGTGGTTAATGTGAGGATGATGTGTGTGTACATCTCCACCACTCAGTCACATCACCTACACTCAGTCTCCAATCACTAGTCACTCTTCTCACACACACCCCAACAGCCTAGTCCCCATCAGTCACCCCACATACCTCAAACCAACAGTCAAACACTTCATACATTCATGCCATGTTGTAGTGTGACCACCTCGAGCCTCTTTCCAGTCTGAACCACCTTCGACCAAGATTGTTTGATGAGACAGGCGGTGACTAGGCATACATAACACATGTCCCAACCAACCATCCCAACCAGTCGATCAACGTTCACAACCATATCAACTCACTCACCTCTTCTCCCTCCCTTAAACTCTACACCTGAATTCTGCGTTACTCACCTGGTGACACTACGGAATACGGTCTATACGAGGGAGGTAGTGGTGGTCAAACACCTCAAGCCTTCTCATGTCTTCCACCTTCAATGGCCATATTTCACAGTCAGAGTGGGAGAGAGTGGATTGTTGTCCAGTACAGGCGACCCTTAATAGACACTCGGATATCACGGTGGCGCCACGTGTGGTGTGAGTTGGCGGAAGCCAATCGAGCGTTTTGTATCTGTGCCGAGATTTTATCGACCACTGAGCCAGCCACCAGGGTAGTGAAGTGGTTGACACACTCAACCACTACACTGTTTATTGTTAGCCGGGGCACCATCGACGATCAATCCTGGAGCAAAAATTTGGATTTGGGTGGTGAGAAAGACATCCAAAGCGTTCTCAAATTTCCGCAACATGTACGAGTTTGACTTTCTTACTTGAAATTTCCCGCAGCTCCTTGAACCAGATCGATCTGCCATTTTCGGTATATAGGTTCCCTTTTGAATGATTTGATGTTGTCAGTACTATTAGCTTGATAGTTATGATGGATAGGAGGCAGCAGTGGAATGCATGAGGTACGTTATTATTAAATGAAGACCAACTCTGCTGAATGATATTTTCTTCATCGGTGTTACAATTCACTCAACCAAGAACAATACAGAAGTCTGCCTACCTTCAACTTTGTGGTACACTTATAACGTGTTCGAAATCTTACTCATTCACCTTCCAGTTTGGATTTATAGGCTATCTCACCTCTTTGTTGTCCAGCTCAACCGTTTGTTACTTATCTTAAATGATTAAATGTAAGTACATCTTGTGTAATTGTTGAGTCATCGTTTCACCTTTTTCTCTTCTTCCTTCCCCTTCTAGATTCTCGTGGCCATCACTAAACTCACACTGTTTTATGCAACCCTGCAACAACGTACCTATCTACCTACAGGCTAGACGAAAACCTGTCAACCGCCGGTTATTACACGCTGACTTAAGTAATTTATGATCGATTATATTTATAATGAGACGACTGATTGCCTAAGTTGAATATAGTATACAATGAGAGAGGATAAACTTAACCATAATAGAAATTTTCAAATCAGTTGCTTATTATTATTATTACTATTATTTGTCCCTTGGGTTCCTAGTGGAACATAGGGATTCACTAGCACGTCTCCATTCCACTCTCTTCTCTGTAATCTTTTCAACCTCCCTCCACGACTGCACACAACCTCTCATTTCCTCCTCACACCATCTCCTCAATATCACCTTCACCTCGAACATCCAACTGGTCGTTTCCCATCTGGGTTCCACTTGTGCAACTGGCGTGGCACGTGATGTCCCCAGTCGGTCTTCTCAGTGCATGAGTATTCCCAATCCATCTCCACTTCCTTCCAGTGCATATTTGTTGAGTAATAGGTTCTTGGTTGGTTCTTTTTCAGCCAGCCAGCCAGCCAGCCAGCCAGCCAGCCAGCCAGCCAGCCAGCCAGCCAGCCAGCCAGCCAGCCAGCCAGCCAGCCAGCCAGCCAGCCAGCCAGCCAGCCAGCCAGCCAGCCAGCCAGCCAGCCAGCCAGCCAGCCAGCCAGCCAGCCAGCCAGCCAGCCAGCCAGCCAGCCAGCCAGCCAGCCAGCCAGCCAGCCAGCCAGCCAGCCAGCCAGCCAGCCAGAGTTCCTTCTTGCCTATACTTATTATTCTGTCAATCCATCTGATCTTCAGTAACGAGCCAGCTTAGGCACTTGTTGATATGATGAATACTACCTCATATTATTTTATTGACGTCTCTGTTGAGTCATTCCTGTAACGGAATCTCCTTACCATGTTATTTTAGCTTTATGTGTATGTTTGTATTTTTTATCAAACCGTGTTCTTCCCAATTAACTACTTTCATTTAACTTCAAAATATAAGTTTAAGCTCTTTTCAATATGATACTTAAATGTTTTATGTTGTCAACACAGCTGATGAGAAACTGGCGAAATCAATTCGGCATCATGTTATTCTGCTCTAATCACTGTTCTTTTTTGACTGAAGTTTATAAAGGGGAATATTTGTATCAAAGGTACAGTTACGTCACATGAACTTAAAACCCAAAAGAGTTACGCTTCTGGGGTTTAGCATACGTAACTAGGCTGTTAGTCTAAAGAACTGTATATACGGTTATGTGAATATGAATCTTTAAGGATTACTCCAGTTTGACCGACAGTTTCGGTAGCAAATGGTATACACTAAGTTTGCTTATACATGAAAATATATAGTTCAAATAACACTAAGACAATCCGTTAACTATACTCTTGTAAGTCGTTTCCATTATGTACTAGGTTCTCATCCACCCACTCACCCATGATATTCCTGATTGTAGTCGACTGGATCATGCAGCAAACAGTGAGGAGCGAGAAGAGGGGGATACACTGGACCGCAGAAAAGAACCTAGAAGATTTGGATTTCGCCGATGACTTGTGTCTAGTGTCACACAAACACAAAGATCTACAGGCGAAAACTAACAAGTTGACAGAAGAGGCGAGGCAAGGCAGCGAAGACGGCACTTTCTTCAGGTGAATGTAGAGAAGACAGAAGTGATGAAGATACCCAACCAACGCCACCGCCACCGCCACCAACAACAAGCCCCAATCACCACCAACGGGAGAAACTTGAAGGAAGTAGTCTCTTTCACCTACACCTATCAAGGCAGCATCATTTCAACTACAGGCGGCACAGGCACAGACGATGATGTCAAATCCAGCCACGATAGGAAAGGCAGCAAGACAGGCGTTCATTAAACTGAAACCAGTGTGGAGATCTGCTTCAGTGCACTGCACTGTACTCAGCATAAAGCGTGAACAACATCCGGGTTCTCAACACTAATTCAGTCAAGTCTGTCAGTGTTTCTATGTGGTGGTTGAGAGAGTTGGGGCGTTACGAGAGGGATTTCCAACAAACTGCGGATGTTCATCAACAAGTGCCACCTAAGCTGGCTCGTTACTGAAGATCAGATGGATTGCCAGAATAATAAGAATAAGCAAGAAGGAACGACAAGTTGGGCGTCCGAGGTGAAGGTGACATTGAGGAGATGGTGTGAGGAAGAAATGAGAGGTTGTGGGCAGTCGTGGAGGGAGGTTGAAAAGATTACAGAGAAGAGAGTGGAATGGAGACGTGCTAGTGAATCCCTATGTTCCACTAGGAACCCAAGAGACAAATAATAATAATAATAATAATAATAATAATAATAATAATAATAATAATAATAATAATAGGTTCTCATTGACTGGAGAAAAGGTACCCGACTCCGTATGTTTTAGAGTGAAGAAGCAGTAGCAATCAGGATCAAACAAATAGAGTTATGTGTCCAATAAAAGCAAACATTTCAGCTACATCTACTATGACTATTCACGTCTCACAAATTCATACACATTCAACTCCCAAGATAATCTAATTTTCTAATTCCATACTGTAGATATCTCTTCATCTACATAAACTGAAATAATTTTCACACAATCTCAAAACCTAGTTAGATATATAATAATAATAATAATAATAATAATAATACCAGTCACTTACTTTCCTTGTTTGCTCTCGATATTCCGGAGGTATTGTAGAACGTCGTCCACGTTTTCTTACTATAGATGTATCGTGTGCGATTATTGGAGTAGATGCTTGACAGGGATTTAAGAGGGAATGGTCAATTGTGTTACAAATGTTAGTATTCATCATGTGTTAGAAAGTAATAACGGATACCATATATATATACATACGTCATACACACGTACGTACAACATACATATATGCATGCACGAAGTTCTTCATTAGATCTCATCCCGTGTCCTATTTAATTCATCCAATCAGATTAGACACGAGTGCTTTTCAATAGGTTTGTTAGACACACTCTTTGCCAAAATAATTTTAACCAATCAAAAATTTAACGCTCAAATTCATATCTAACGTTACATTTTGTATTCAAAATAACATATTATGAACAGTATTTTCCCTTGAAAAATAACAATGATGATCTAAATGAGGAAAATAGGGGTTATTCAATTTCACTGTATGAGTTACAATAGGTTCATCTTTGTCTTACGAAACAAATAATGATTTATGTTGTTACATATTCAGTAAACATCATAAACGAAATAAAAAGGTCGTTCATTTATTATTATTATAAGTTGGCTGACTGATTTAATAACTTTTGTAATACGATTCGATTTTATCTCACTTATTGGATCAAACAGTTCGACCTCTGTTGAGAAATGGGGGGGAGGTCTCGATATTGCCTGAATGTTAATTATGGTAATTTGTTTGGTTGTAGCTGGTAGAGGAATCAAGGATACGCATTTCATCCTCTTTGGGATTCACTGGTCAGCTGGATGTACCTGAACCTGAGTGAGGAGTAATGTTGTTTCCACTGAGACTCGGAACCTCATACCCATCGCTCCAAATGTCAAGGCGTTATCCAATGTGCCACTGGGGCACGACAGCCACTTCTTGTACAACGGGTATTAGTTATTACTATTGATTAGTGTAGCAATGATGCGCAGTGGCTAGCAGTGAAATCCAGGATGCGCATTTCGTCCTATTTGGGACTCACTGGTCAGCTGGATGTACCTGCTTCCCAGTGAGTGATGTTCTTCTCACCGGGATTTGGACTCTGGAGCGATCGCTTCAAATGCCAGGGCGTTATCCACTACACCACCGAACCACGATAACCACTTCTTGTGCGACGGTATAGTTTTAGTGTCATTGCTCGTATTACACCGTCGTTGATTGGACCTAGTCCGAGTCCCGGTGGGGACAACATCACTCACTGGGAAGCAGGTACATCCAGCTGACCAGTGAGTCCCAAATAGGAAGAAATGCGCATCCTGGATTCCACTGCTAGCCACTGCCCATCATTGCTAAACATAGTTAAAAGACAGGCCATATCGAGGCATCCGCATAGGAGCCCATATGCCAACAGAGACTGATCAATTCGGTCCAATCAACGACGGTGCAATACAAGCAATAAAATTAATTAGTGTACTTGTAATTCTCCGTTGTTTTATTGAGTCAAATTGTTTGACCTCCAGCTGATAAGTCAAAATAGGTCGAAACGCGCTTCCTGAAATCGTCTGCTAGCCATTACTAAAAAAACTACCGATCTGTTTGTTAGTGATGTTGTTTTAACTAGTTAAATTTATCATATTTGTTTGTTGATGAAACAGTTTCTTTATTTTAAGGAACTAGTTCAACGTCGATTCTCCTTCTTCAATGTAGGATTCATCATTTCCTTTTCGATAATAATTACTGATATATGTATGATGATTAGGCAAGAATCTACCCAAATATTATGAATAATTCTGCCTTTCATTTAAAATACTCCATCACCCCTCTCCCCCCCCCCCCAACTCCTTTAAGTCTTCATGGTGAAAGTTATCACAATATTTTCCAGAAATCTTCAACTCTTAAACTATCAATACAAAAATCATGTATAGTAATCAATCAATACATATCAAATTATCATTCTTTGTTGTTTAGCTTGAATATTTCTTGGCTAAAATTACATTTCCAGTATCCGGTGTGTTGCCATGTAGCATGATCATTAACTCGTTCAAATAGTGTGTATGAAATGAGTAATTTTAAGCGAAATTTTAGTATTGGCAATGTTTAACTAAATTAAGTACTGCATACTTTCCTAACTTAGCAATTGTATATCATTATTGTTATTATTATCAGGAGAAACAAATGATGTGCAAATCAAATTGCAACGCTACGCTAAGTATCATCCTAGAATGACAGTAAACAATGCAGCTGAACTTCATGTATTTTGAAAAGGCCTTTGACAGCGTCGACTGAGAAGTAGTTTGACAGGCAGCTGCTTCAACACTACGGTTTTAGTGTCATAAACCTTTAATTACCTCATTCAGCACCAGCTGTATGCTATATGATGAGGCTACATAGACGTGACTCACAACAGAAAGCTCAGTGATGCCTTTGAAGTAAAGATAGGAGTAAGATAAGGCTGCCTACCATCACCGATAATCTTCCTGATTGTCGTGGACTCGACTGGACTGGATTATGCAACAAACTGTGAGAAAGAAGAAAAGGGGTATACGCTGTCTGACCGATGAAAAGAACCTAGAAGATTTGGATTTCACCAACCATGATTTATGTCTAATGTCACACAAACTCGAAGATCTACAAGCGAAAACTGACAAGTTGGCAAAAGAGGTCAGGCAGCGAAGACGGGACTTTAGGTGAACGTAGACAAGACAGAGGTGATGAAGATACCCAACCAACAACAACAACAACAACAACAACGACAATGAACACCAATCACCATCAGCGGGAGAAATCTGAAGGGGGTTGTCTCTTTCATCTACCTTCCTAGGTAGCATTGTTTCAGTTACAAGCGGTGGCACAGATGAGCACGTCATAGCCAGGATCGGAAAGACAGCAAGACAGGTCTTCATTAATCTGAAATCATCAGTGTGGAGGTCTACTGTACTGCATTCAGCATAAACAGTGAACAACATCCGGATTTTCAACACAAATTCAGTCAAGTAAGTCAGTGCTTTTATGTGGTGCAGAGACTTGGCGCATTGCGAAAAGCATTTCCAACAGACTACAGACATACACCAACCAACATCTGCCTACGCTGGCTCGATACTGAAGATCAGATGGCCAGGAAGAACAAGCAACAGTAAACTCAGGCTAGTAACGGACTAACCAAGAACCCATTGCCTAAAAAACATGCAGAAGAAAGTGTAGATGGATTGAATATACACTAAGAAGAGCATTTGGAGACGTCATGTGCCAGACAGGCCGTCGAGTGGAACCCAATGGGGAAAGGACGAGTTGGGCGTCCGAGGTGAGGGTGACATGGAGGAGATCGTGTGAGGAAAAAATGAAAGCTTGTGGGCAGTCATGGAGGCAGATTAAAAAGACTGGAGAGATTAGCGTGAAATGGAGATAAGCTACTGAAGCTCTATGTCCCACTAGGAACCCGAAGGACAAATAATAATAATAATAATAACAACAATAATAATAACAATAATAATATACAATTGCTAAGTTAGGAAAGTATGCAGTACTTAATTTAGTTAAACATTGCCAATACTAAAATTTCGCTTAAAATTACTCATTTCATACACACTATTTGAACGAGTTAATGATCATGCTACATGGCAACACACCGGATACTGGAAATGTAATTTTAGCCAAGAAATATTCAAGCTAAACAACAAAGAATGATAATTTGATATGTATTGATTGATTACTATACATGATTTTTGTATTGATAGTTTAAGAGTTGAAGATTTCTGGAAAATATTGTGATAACTTTCACCATGAAGACTTAAAGGAGTTGGGGGGGGGGGGGGAGAGGGGTGATGGAGTATTTTAAATGAAAGGCAGAATTATTCATAATATTTGGGTAGATTCTTGCCTAATCATCATACATATATCAGTAGTAGTATTCATCACTAAGTAGAATCACTGGAGAGCTGTTATATCATAGTATGAGACCTCTCAGAAGTGCACACCTATGACCCCGGTTGGGATTGAATCGTAAGCCACCAAATTTCACAGTGAGGATACTAACTTTTCAGTCAGTGGATCAGTATGCAATGCTCCATAGTCCATTACTTCCATTGATTCACAATACCACGCAGCGTTAAGGAGCGTATCATGTTGAAATTAAGACTGATTGACTCGCGATTCTCTCTTCATTTTACAACCACTGCTTGAAGAATATGAAGTCCATTTATGATTAAGAAAAGTGTCTTTATATTTTATATGGAACTAGTTACTTATATTCATTCATTGCTAATATTTAACTGTTTAAAGGTTCATAAAATGCTTGAAAAAAATTCTTCGAAGCTACTTTTGACATCAGGTAGTGAACTATCGAGAACCCGTGAGTACTAAAAAAGTTTCCACCCATGATCTCGTAAGAGGTCAAGTCCAAGACCATAAAGTTTCAACTACGGATGCGTTAAGGTGCGACTATCATTCAATGCAGTTGGTCTGTATTTATCCTTACATCCGACTTAGTTGACCCTACAGGTTGCAAAATTCTCATTAGATTTTCAAGAAATCTAAATAGATTTCATTCAATAATTTGTATTGCGTACTAATAGAATACGCAAACAATCCGTGCGTTCCTCACCACCCAAATGCAGATTGTTGCCCCAGGATTGATCTTCAATGGTGTCTTGGCTAGCAATAAACAGTGTAGTGGTTGAATGTGTCAACCACTTCACCTATCTGGGAAGTACGATCAGCCATACACTGGTGGCTGGCTCAGTGGTCGATAAAATCTCGGCACAGATACAAAACGCTCGATTGGCTTTCGCCAACTCACACCACCTATGGCGCCACCGTGATATCCGAGTGTCTATTAAGGGTCACCTGTACTGGACAACAATCCACTCTCTCCCACTCTGACTGTGAAACATGGCCATTGAAGGTGGAAGACATGAGAAGGCTTCAGGTGTTTGACCACCACTACCTCCCTCGTATAGACCGTATTCCGTAGTGTCACCAGGTGAGTAATGCAGAATTCAGGTGTAGAGTTTAAGGGAGGGAGAAGAGGTGAGTGAGTTGATATGGTTGTGAACGTTGATCGACTGGTTGGGATGGTTGGTTGGGACATGTGTTATGTATGCCTAGTCACCGCCTGTCTCATCAAACAATCTTGGTCGAAGGTGGTTCAGACTGGAAAGAGGCTCGAGGTGGTCACACTACAA